CTAAAGCGAGAGCCACATCTTGAAAACTACTTGCCCTCAAACAGTGGAGCTCTTGCAAATGTTTGGAACGAACGTGCGCGGCGCTGAAGCGAGAGCCACATGTTGAAAACGACCTGCCCTCAATCAGTAAAGTTCTTGCAAGTTTTCAGAAACGAGCATGCGCGGCGCTAAGGCGAGAACCACAACTTGAAAATGAGCCGCTGTAAATCCGTGAAGCTCTTGCAAGTTTTTGAAACGAATGTGCGCGGCACTAGGGCGAGATCCGCATTTGAAAACAACCTGCCGTCAAGCCGTAGAACTCTTGTCAGTTCTTGAAGCGAACGTGCGCGGCGCTAAGACGAGAACCACATTTTGAAAACGCGCTGCCCGCAATCCGTGAAGCTCTTGCAAGTTTTCGAAACAAGTGTGCGGGGCGCTAACGCGAGAACCACATCTCGAAAACGACCTGCCCTCAAGCCGTTGCCAATGTCTGAAAACGAACGCGCGCGGCGCTGAGGCGAGAACCACAATTTGAAAACAAGCCGCCCTCAAGCCGTAACATTTGTTTGAATTGAATGTGCGCGGCGCTAAAGCGAGAACCACATTTTGAAAACGACCCGCCCTCAAGCCGTGAAACTCTTGCACATGTTTGAAACGAATGTGCGCGGCGCTAAAGCGAAAACTACAGATCGGAAACGAGCCACCTTCAATCCGCGTGGCCCTTGCAAGTTTTTGAAACGAATGTGCGCGGCGCTCGAGCGAGAGCCACATGTTGAAAACGACCTCCCCTCAAGCCGTGAAACTCTTGCAATTTTTTTTACAACGAACATGCGCGGCGCAAAAGCGAGAACCACATTTTGAAACCGACCCGCCCTCAATCCGTGAAACTCTTGCAAATGTGAATGTGCGCGGCGCTAACGCGAAAACAGCATTTCGAAACTGAGCCACCCTCAATCCGCGAAGCTCTTGCAAGTGTTTGAAACGAATGTGCGCGGCGCTAAGACGAGAACCACATTTTGAAAACGGCTCGCCGTCAATCAGTGAAACTCTTGTAAGATTTTGAGACGAACTTGCGCGGCGCTAAGGCGAGAGCTACATCTTGAAAACGACCCGCCCTAAATCCGTGAAGCCCTTGCACGTTTTTGAAACGAATGTGCGCGGCGCTCAAGCGAAAACCACATTTTGAAAACGACCTGCCCTCAAGCCGTGGAACTCTTGCCAATTTTTACAACGAGCATGCGCGGCGCTAAAGCGAGAACTATATATATATATATATATATTGAAAACGACCTGCCCGCAATCCGTGAAGCTCATGCGAGTACTTAAAGCGAATGCGCGCGGCGCCAAGGCGAGAGCCGCATGTTTAAAACAACCCGCCCTCATGCCGTGAAACCCTTGCAAGTTGAAACGAATGTGCGCGGCGCTAGGGCGAGAGCCACAAGCCGCCCAACCCGTGGAGCTCCTGCAAGTTTTTGAAACGAATGCGCGCGGCGCTAAGGCGAGAGCCACATCATCAGTTTTCTTGTGCGGGAATGACGCTTCCCGTTGCGGGAAGCGTCATCTTTTTGCTGGGAGGAGGGGGGAGGGGTCTTGAATACTGGATGAGGTTATGTTCTTGGAACGGGAAAAGTTGGAGCCCTGTAGTGGCGAACATGCAGACCTCGAGCGAACGAGCCTCGGCCACGGAGAGGTTCCCCGACCTGGAACTCAGGGCCCGGCCGGAAAAACCAAAGCACCGCCCGAACCCGAAGCGGTCCTTCTACTGCGGCACCCCGCCTGTATCCTCCATCGCCCTCCAGCAGAGAGGAGGGGTGGGCCTGCGAGTTGTCGTCGCCGCGGCGCTGCCCGCCAGATTTCATTACCAACAGCGGCAACAGTTTCACCAGGCAAGAGAGAGAGAGAAGTAACAATCAAACAGTATGTCAGGACATAGAGAAAGAGAGAAAGAGAGAGGTGGTATTCGGGGGCGGCGGCCACGGACTCACTGTCTTGATGCACCTGTAAAGTGTAAGAGCGTAGAACCAACAACCAACTCGAGACCAAACCACCTATGCCTTCGCTTTTCCAGACCGAACCGCGACAGAAAGGCATGCCGTGGCTGCAGGGCCACGCCGAGGATCCCCGGAGGGCGCCATGCGATCGAATCTGCATTGCAGATGCGAGGAACGGCCTCTTCATCGGCTGGGAGAGACACTCTGACACAAAGATGCCACGACGCCGGGAACCGACTTATCATCCTCGTTCCGCTCTCACTCCACCCTCCGCTGGCCGGTAAAAAATGCTGCAGGAGAGCAATGCAGAGCGCTCCTTCATGTTGCGAGGCCGCTGCAGCGCAGAGCCTGCAGGCGGGGCGAGGGTGCTGAGTGGAGCAAGCGAAGCCGAAGCAGAAGGAGGAAAAGGGATGGATCGTGACAACAACGCTGAGAAGAATAATGAGGAGAGGGGGAGGAGGGTCTTTAGGGAGAGATTGTCTAGACGGGTATACACACCGCTTAGTCTGACCACACGTACACACATGCTCTCTGGCCGAAACATCGGCCGACTCTCACAATGTGAGGGATGCCGTGGTCGCAGTGCTGGGGGAGCGTCGATAGATCTGCCAGATCTGGAGCCATGGTGTGGCCCGAAACCGTCGTGCCCCCCGCCTTCGCAGACCCCCCCCGACGCCGTGCTTTGTCGGCGACGTGGACCCCCATTGGTTTTGACCCCCTCGCTGGCACCGGGTCGGCGGCAGGGCTGCGCACGTGAGCCCGCCACCGCCGCGCGCAGCAGGCCCTCGGCGGTCCGCAACAGGCGCAAGCCCGCGTGGGGAGCGGCCTGCGGCGCGCCCTGCCGCGCGCGCGACGCAAGGAGGGCCCATCGGGCCGCCTCCTCGGGGTCGCGGCGGCGCCCAGCCTGCGGCGTGATCGCACCAGGCATGGGCGAGGAGGCGAGCGGGCCCGGGGAGGTGCGGCCCAGCGGGCACCAAGCGTGAGCCAGATGAGTACATACTAGCCCGAGGAGGAGGAGGAGAACCACCCCTGGAGGCGCGCCGTTCCCTCCAATGCTAACGGCCGATACTACCATCAGAGTATCATACACAAGCGAATCTTTAAGCTGGCCTATCGGAAAACATATGAGAGCTATATGCGCTGACCATGTTATGGGAAGGCTCGGCCAAAACATTGTAGGAAAATTACCGTTTCCCTTCAGGATCCGTGCGCAGGAAGACGGAGAACCGAAAACAAACAACCCAGCAACCAACGAGAAAGCGAACCCAAAACGCAGAGCCGGGAGGGCAGCCAGGGTGGGACAAGGGCGGCACCTGACATCTAAGTGAAGTCCTCAGCGCCATCCTCGAGACTCTCGCACAGGAGCTCAGGCGAGCAGAACAGGCCGCCGTAGTAATACAGGTGAGCACCACGCAACACGTCGTCGTCATCACAAGACTCCAAATCAGTTGGTTCCAGAATGCTATCCGCCAAACGTGCCATGCCCGCGCACTCCTGGAGGATGCCTTGGAGGTGGATCTGCATTTCGCTCAGGAACCCTTCAAATGTGGAGCATGTTTCAACCATCCCAATGTCATCGTGAAGAAACTCAAACAATATAGCTGAATTGCGAGTGGCCTGGCCATCCACGATAGTCTGCTTGAGAGCCTCGTCCAACGTGTCGAGCCGGTCAGACAGAGAGGCAACCAACACGGTGGCCGCTTCTTCGAACAGCTGCGACCCATGGATCTTTTTGGTGAACGTGTTCGGGGCGACGGTGTTTTCAGTTTGCGTTCCGCACTCGGCTGTCGTGTCGAAGATGTCGAACAGTTGAGGTCGTGGCCCAGCTCCGGATGACCTCGCCGAGGAACAAAGAGTGGCAGTACTGGTCCCGCGGGAGATCGTAGTAGCAGTGCGCTCGTCTTCTGTGACAATGGTGGTGGCCTCGATGTCCTCAATAATGGATGTGCCATAATGCCCAAACGCTTGGACCAGCTCTTCCGTGCAATTGCGCACGCTGACACCTGTGACGTGCCGAAGAAGGTTGTAGCAGAAATCGATCTTGATGATCTTGCTGCGAATGGGCCCACGCAATTGACCGTGATGCCGTGCACGTTCCGCAATGCCGACGAAGTGCTCGCCAGCAGCACCGGACAGTATTTGGAGAAGCTGATCGCGAAGCTGGTCAACCAGCTCATGCGGGAGTGACATCGCAGGGGACGAGAAGTGCGAAGGATGACCTTACAGCCAAAATGCCGCTTGACCCACAATGGCTACGGGAGCCCGGGGAGGAGGAGTAGGAGGAGGAGGAGGAGGAAAAGGAGGAGGAACAAGACAGTCCGCAGGTCGAAGGTCGAAGGAGGAGGACGAGGAGGAGGAAAAAAAGGGGGATAAGCAGAACGCAAAAGGACACAGAGGAGGTGAATGAGATGGTCGATGAGGAAGAGGAGAAGCAGCAGCAGGACGGCGACAACGAAGAGCAGCGGAATCAGAGGCCGCCGCCCGCCGCCGTGGAGGGCCGGCCCGACAGCGGCTGTGCAGGCGGCGCAGGCGGTGGAACCTTCGTCCGCCTCCTGCGGCCGCTGGCCACGGGGACCCGCAAGCGGATACCCCTGGCGGCGGGGGCACTCCAACTGCCACATGCCTGCCTCATGCCTTCTCCCTGCTGCCTCCTTCTCCTGCCTATCCGCCTCGTCCTCCTGCCACGTGCCTGCTCCTGCCTCGTCCCTCTTGCCTCCTCCTCCTCCTCCTCCTCCTCCTCCTCCTCCTCCTCCTCCTCCTCCTCCTCCTCCTCATCATCATCATCATCATCATCATCATCATCATCATCATCATCATCATCATCATCATCATCATCATCATCATCATCATCATCATCATCATCATCATCATCATCATCATCATCATCATCATCATCATCATCATCATCATCATCATCATCATCATCATCATCATCATCATCATCATCATCATCATCATCATCATCATCATCATCATCATCATCATCATCATCATCACCACCACCACCACCACCACCATCATCATCATCATCATCATCATCATCATCATCATCATCATCATAATCATCATCATCATCATCATCATCATCATCATTGTCCTCAGCATCATCGCCACCATCACCATCATCATCCTCAACGTCATCACCAACATCATCAACAACATCACCCTGCTCAATAACATCACGATCACCAGCACCATCACCAGCAACATCAGCATCAGCATCATCATCATCCCCCTCCTCCGCCTCCTCACTTCTCCTCCTCCTCACACCCCTCACTCCTCGCTCCTCACTCCAGAATCCTCACTCCTCAATCCTCAGTCTTCAATCATCACTCCTCATTCCTCAGTCCCCCTTCTCACTTTTCAATCCTCCTCCTTTTCCTCCCCCTCCTCCTCCTCCTCCTCCTCCTCCTCCTCCTTTTCCTGCCTCCTGCGTCCTGCCTCCTGTTTCCAGCCTCCTGTTCCTCCTCCTTCTCCTCCTCCTCCTTTTCCTTCTCGCGGCGCCAGCACGTCGAACTGCTGGGCGTTCGCCAGCAGACAGGCGAACACAAAAATCAACGTATATTACAAGGTTTCCGTGGCTCTGCCAACGAGTCAGCCCGAGCCGAGGGGTCGCCCACGAGGGTGCGACTTTGCCTCGATTCCGGACTGGGCGCTCGCTTACAGAGGAAGATTTTTCCCCGGGGCCCCAGGCGGGCGCGCGGGCTCAGCGCGCAGGCCAGCGGCGGCGGCGGCGGGGCGGCCCGGCCGCGGCGCCCAGCGGCCTGGGGTTCGGCCCGGCGCCCGGCGGCAGCGGCGGGGCGCCGGCGGCGGCGTTGCTGCGGGCCGGGCCCACGCCGTGCTCGGACTGGCTGGCGCCGAAGCGTGGGCCTCCCGCGCCAGGTTCGCGGCGACCGCCACCCCCGCCTCGATGTCCAGGCCCGCGCACAGTCCGGTGAGGATGGCCGCCAGCGGGAACTCCTCCCACACCGTGCCGTGCGCGAGCTCGCGGGCCGCTGCCTCGGCGCGGCGGCAGCCCTCCAGAAGGTGGAGACCGTGGCGGGGGATGACCTCCCTGCACCGTGGGCACGTAGCTCGGGAAGCGGTCGTGCGCAACGTCAGGCGGCCCTGGAGGAGCAGCTGCGCCCGCGCCCGGATAGCTGACCACGGGGCCGATGTCGCGGTCGCCGCCTGGATCGTCGCGCCGTTGCCTCGCGGTGGGTAGGCGGCCGCTTCGCGAGAGCGCCATCGCAGCTCAACCTCTGTCAGCCGGGGGTCGACGGCCTCTGTGAGGTATGTGCGAATGCGCCTCTGCCTGCCCGCCCGCGCCGGCGCGCGCGCGGGCTCTTGGCACGTGTAGAAGGACCGCTTCGAGTACTTGGGGATGGCGCATTCCTCCAAACAGGCGCGCACTGTCCACATCCACGCGGTGGCCGTCGGCACCGCGATATGCGCAACCCGTCTGGGCTGGGATCCCGGTGCGGTGGACTCGATCCTAGCCGCCAACGCCGCCGCTGCTCGGAGGGTCTGCATGGAGTCCCCGCGGGAAGCCGAGCTCCTGGAGGAGGATTCTCTGCATGGGCGCGTCGATGTCCAGGAGGCGACTTGCCCGCCGGTCCAGGACAGCGTTCAACCGCGCCTCCCAGTCGTGGCGGACGGTGAGAAGGGGCGCCGCCCAGCACGCCTGCGGTCGGACTCTGGCGTCTAGCGCGCGAAGGGCCACCCTCCTGGGCAGCCCGAGGAGCTCCAAGGCCGTGAGGAGGGCCATCCAGCCTCGCATTGCGGCGTGCTCGACGTGCTGCATGAGCGCCCAGGGGGGGGAGACATCTGGCTAGAATCGCCGATAGATCGGCGACAGGTCCCCCGATGGCGAATCCGCACACCCCTGGGCGGGGTGGGCCATCGGGGCCCCGTCGGCGATGAACGGGCGATCGGGGGCCGATGCGCCCCCCGCCCCCCCTCCGGAGCCCGTCCCCCCCCCGACGCTGCCCCCGGGGAGCACGGGGCTACAGTACGGGCGATGGGCCCTGCACCCGTGCTTCAGCCCCGGCGCGACTGCTGCACTCTGCGCCGCTGGCTGGAGGACGGCGAACAGCGGCGACGACGCCACCCGCACGCGGCGCACGGAGGCCGAGAGGCCAAAGCAGCATATGCAGCTCGGTGCCGAGCCACGCGGGGATGCCCCGTCGTAGCTCCGCGGCGATTGAACCTCGCGCGGGAGCAGATGCTCGACGCCGTGCGCTGTCGGAGGGGCGAGAGCGGGGAACACGAGGGCTGCCGGCGCCCCTCCTCCCGCCCGCGGCCCAAGGGATCACAGCCATCCAAAACAGGTGCCCGACTTCTATTATGGATGGCTTTTCCTCCCGCTCTGGGTGCGCTTCCCTCCGAGGTGAAGGTTCGCCCGTTCGCCCTGGGGGTCTCGAACTTTCCCCAGGACCGTCCTACTATTCTCCCGATCCTATGGTTGACGGCCCAAAGGCCCGGCAAGGCCACCCAGAGGCCGAAGACGGGCAAAAAACTTCCGTTGCGTTTTTGTTCACGACACGAGGGGGACATGTCTGGGCCAGACACGTCCAGGCGTGTGCTCCGACCAAAATTCTGAGGCGAATCCAGGCGTGGCGGGGAGAAAAAGCCAGAAGACCCAGCGGGCCGAAAGAAGGCCAGTCGACTCCTCGAGGACGCCTCGTCTGCGAGTGCAGGCGCTGCCTCGGGCTGCCCCGTGACCTCTACAGGGGCGCGCTCTGACCAGAGGTTCAAGGGGAACCCAGCCGTGGCGACGAAAAGCCCCCAGAGGCCCAAGCCGCGTGACAAACATACAGAACATCCGTCCGTCGATGACGATGTCGATGTCGATGCCAATATCGTTGTTGATGTCGATGTCGTCGCCGTCGACGCCGCCGCCGTCGCCATCGCCTTTGCTGCTGCCATCGCCTTCGCCGTCGCCGTCGCCGTCGCCGTCGCCGTCGTCGTCGCCGCCGTCGCCATCGCCTTTGCTGCTGCCATCGCCTTCGCCGTCGCCGTCGCCGTCGCCGTCGCCGTCGCCGTCGTCGTCGTCGTCGTCGTCGTCGTCGTCGTCGTCGTCGTCCGTCGTCCGTCATCCGTCGTCCGTCGTCCGTCGCTTGTCGCCCGTCGTCGTTGTTGACGGCGACGACGGAGGCGACGTCGACAACGACGGCGCGCGAGAAGAGCGCGCCCCTGTCGTCGTGTCTTGTGGACCTGGGACTGGCCTGGCATTCCAAGTCGCCTCGTGGGCCCAGCAACGGCCCCCAGAAGTCGAAAACGGCCAAACACTTCCCGCCATTATTTTCGCCACGATCGACGAAACCGCGCGCGGGGGACAGCGTGCGGGGAGGAGGGACGGAGGGAGGGAATGAAGGAGGTGAAGGAGGCAGGGAGGGAGGGAGGAGGAAGGAGGGGCGAGGGAGAGTTGGAGGAGGAGGAGGAGGAAAAGGATGAGGAGGAGAAAGAGAAAGAGAAATATAAGTAGAAAGAGAAAGCGAAAGAGGAGGGAGAAGGAGGGAGGAAGGGATGGAGGAAGGAGGAGGAGGAGGAGGAGGAGGAGGAAGAGGAGGACGAGGAGGAGCAGGAGGAGGAGGAGGAGGGAGGGAGGAGGGAGGAGGAGGAGGAGGAGGAGGAGGAGAGGGAGGGAAGGAGGGAGACTGGAGGAGGCCTCCCTCCTCCTCCTCCTCCTCCCCCTCCTTCTCCTCCGTTTCCTGCACCTGATCCAGCTCTTCCCGCTCCTCCTCCTCCACTCCTCCTTTGGCTGCTGCGGACCTCGTCTGGCCTAAGCCACGACGCCCTCGATCCCTCCTCGCTCGTGCAAGGTTGCCTCGTCCTAGTCCTACTCGGGCGTATGGGGTTGGAGTGCAAAGGTACAGAACCCCTGATCCGTTGGTAGAGGGAAGGAGGGAAAGATGGATATATTTTCCTCCTGCGCGATCGAAAGTCTGATCGATCTATTCTAATACCTGAGCCCAAACGGCCAGGCGCAGGAGAGCGAGGATCAGGAGTATATATGAGGGTATCACACGGGTTCTATTCACACACCCCGTCCCGAATCCCGCCCGCAAGGGCAGGGCTCGGGAAAAAGGAAAAAAACAGAACCTGTCACCCTTTTACTCCTCACATCCTCAGCACTGCAAGGCAGCCGAGCGTAAAATCTGCACCGCGTCAGCTGCGCCCCGATCACGACAGCTGCGTGCAAAAGAAGCGTAGCACAACAGCTGTCATGATCAGGCAAGGAAGGGAACGAGAGAACACCCAGGGTCCCTGTTTCTTCGCCAAGCACACTTTGGTGCCCCCTCGGTGCGCCCACCAAAAACGCTGTGGCACTCGAGGGCGGGGAAGAATGAGACACGGGTGGGCGGAGCAAGAGGATCTGAGCAAATTAAAGCAACATCAGAAGCTGCCGCGTCTGCATGCGGCAGGTGCTGCCACCAGCTCTCAAACCAAAGCTGGGCATCAGATCATTCTCAACGCAATGTAATATCAAATTATACTGTAAAGACTAAGCAAAACATGTGCAATATCAAGTCGTGTTGAGGAACACGGTCGTGTTAAGAAACGCGTCTAATCATCAAAGCAAACGCCTGGCCAGGCGTAGAGTCGCGTT